ACCTCCTACGGGTGGGCTGCTTCATCACCTCCTACAGGTGGGCTGCTTCATCACCTCCTACGGGTGGGCTGCTTCATCACCTCCTAGGGGTGGGTTGCTTCATCACCTCCTACGGGTTGGCTGCTTCATCACCTCCTATAGGTGGGCTGCTTCATCACCTCCTAGGGGTGGGCTGCTTCATCACCTCCTAGGGGTGGGCTGCTTCATCACCTCCTACTGGTGGGCTGCTTCATCACCTCCTACGGGTGGGCTGCTTCATGACATCCTAGGGGTGGGCTGCTTCATCACCTCCTACGGGTGGGCTGCTTCATCACCTCCTACGGGTGGGCTGCTTCATGACCTCCTAGGGTTGGGCTGCTTCATTCTGGGCACACCAGAGAAGACACCAGCTGCCCCTCAGTATACTCCAGTGTCTGTTTAGAACTAATTGCCCATACTCTACACCCACAATACAACCTGGTAAACTTAGAACGTGCCAGTCAGTGGCAAGAGAAAACATACCTAAACATATGTTTGGCTGCGATAAGGGCAAATATAGTCTTAGGATGGATACTTAACCTCTTCTTCAAATAGTCAGTATTCATAGAAAGAGGCCCATGTGTGGTCTGCATATGATGTATGTCACAAACGACTATTTACTGAACAACTGTTGATTTATCCCAAAGCAGAAATAAATTCTAAGAAACAAAGAGCTTTATTTTAAGTACCACATGGCATTGAGGGTTACATCCTTCACAGTGTTTTTTCTGTAAAAGGCTTCAATGTTCATAGACGTACATGTATATCGTGTATCAAGAACAAAAATGTCAACTGTACTTAAATGTATTATTGACAGTGGATCATGCAACATCATAGCTGAAACATTAAGCATCTGGTTTCTAGGCCAGGTCTCCATCAACGCTTGGCTTTGAAGCTGTTTAAAGAATAACCAATAGGGCATATATTTGAAGAAATATGGTATATTTCCACCAATTTTTAAGGCTTGAGTACATCTCAGGTAAAACAAATCCCCCTAAAACCCATTGTAAATACAGCAACAAAAACAAAACACAATCTAAAACAGAGAAGAAAACATTCATTACAACTGTTGAAACATGACTTTAACGAGCCAGGACCATTTTCTCATTCTGGCTTCCTGTGATGGAAGCCATAGCTTCTCAGTTTAAGCCAAGCAGTACTAACTTAGGTTTTATTATCTTCTTGTATTTTTAAACTTGTGTTTACACCAGTTCCCTGTTTAGAGGCCAACTCTGCGACTTTCATAATCTGGTGAGGGTGTGAATGAACTTGGATTGCACTGGTGTAGTTTATCACTGCTTGCTCTTGGATCGAAATTTCAAACTTTCAATCTGCTGTGAGCTATTTATACAGAAAACTTTAATGATGTAACCATGTTTATAGCATATGCCATGCAGTGTACAAGTAGGTAAATAAATGAAATATCAGCCTATGTGTATGACATGTGGTTGGGTCAATACTGTAGAATATGGTATACCATTGATGTTTACTGCCCAATACCCCCAGAATATGTGGCAGGAATAATCAGGTTTCTTGTCATGCTGCTTTATATAGTCTTTATCAATAAACACTGAGTGTCTGAGTGGATAAACACACTGTCCTTGTAGAAATTAAGAAATCATTTTCCAACACAAATTTCTTTTGTCACATATGTTATATTTCGGATTACACTTTCTTAGTAAAGTACAGATTCTAGTATTTTGTTGGGTTGAGTCCCATCCTGTGATTCAAACCCACACCCTCAGAGTCAGGCACCTAATCGCCAGCACACAATTACATAATCATTCATACTTATTTTCAGAACACAGACAAAAGATCACACATCACTTTCTTCCAATATGGCTGCTGTTATGGCCACTGAATCCTGTTCAACAAAGGAAGGGATAAGAAAATGACACCTTTTGAAACATGAAATGACTTGAAAGAAGGAAAGAGTTTTTGATAGACTATTGCACAGCATAAAAGCATATATAATTTAAATAGACACAAATAAATCCACTGAAATTGGTAAGGTGCCTTAGTGAGCTATTAGATTCAGAATCTTGCTTCATTTAGGGCTTTTGCATTACAGAAACTGGATGGTAGGGTAAACATGGTGCAGGAAATGTGAGACAGACTGTGTTTAACAGAATACCCATGGTCGAATATCGCTTTTATTTAACTTCTGAAGAGAGGAATGGCTAAACATGAAGATAGAAGCATAGCAAATAGCATTCCTTCAAGTTCAGTGATCTACTCTGAATGTTGTATTTACTCAACATGAAATGTGTTTGTGGTTTTGATCCAGGAGATGCCATATGTGGCCCCACTGCACACCCTGCCATGAAGCAGAAGCACGTTGGGCCATCAGGCAGACAGCAATCAGTCACGGTCGGCTGATCCGACTCCACACACATAGCACAGACATACATACTGATGCCAGCAGTAGGAGCAGGTATGCTAGGTATCTGCTGGTGCTTGATTAACTAGGTCCATGTACAGATAAACCTCATCACTCTGGACACTGTCAGTTATGGTTACTGCTGTTAATGTCTATATACACATAAACCTCACCAGTCTGGACACTGTCAGTCATGATTACTGCTGTTGATGTCTATATACAGATAAACCTCATCAGTCTGGACACTGTCAATCTGGACACTGTCAGTCATGATTACTGCTGTTGATGTCTATATACAGATAAACCTCATCAGTCTGGACACTGTCAATCTGGACACTGTTAGTCATGATTACTGCTGTTGATGTCTATAAACAGATAAACCTCATCAGTCTGGACATAGTCAGTCATGATTACTGCTGTTAATGTCTGTTAATGTCTGTATATGATTACTGCTGTTGAGATAAACCTCAGTCAGTCTGGACACAGTCTGGACACTGTCATGATTCTGGATGTCTATATACAGATGTCACACTGTCTGGACACTGTCATGATTACTGCTGTTGATGTCTATAAACAGATAAACCTCATCAGTCTGGACACTGTCAGTCATGATTACTCCTGTTGATGTCTATATACAGATAAACCTCATCAGTCTGGACACTGTCAGTCATGATTACTGCTGTTGATGTCTATATACAGATAAACCTCATCAGTCTGGACACTGTCAGTCATGATTACTGCTGTTGATGTCTATATACAGATAAACCTCATCTGTCTGGACACTGTCAGTCATGATTACTGCTGTTGATGTCTATATACAGATAAACCTCATCAGTCTGGACACTGTCAGTCATTGATTACTGCTGTTGATGATACACATCATCAGTCTGGACACTGTCAGTCATGATTACTTCAGTCTTTGTCAGTAATCTGGACACTGTTAGTCATGATTACTGCTGTATTTACCTGATGGGCAAATCATGTAAAAGTTGTGTGAAAGTTGTGATGGAAGAGAAAACAGAGGCAGCTGACAAACGTTACTTCTAGACCAAGACCTCCATGCCAGGTTTGTACAAGTGAAAATACAACAGTAGCTCGATATGAATGATACACACGTTCTTCACATTAAAACTAACAAGGGCTAACTTTAAGAAGCGAAATACTTAGTGTAATGAGACATTCATAAATACTTTCCAACAAAGTGTAAACAAACATCCAGAGCTACAGATAACATTTTGGGTCATTGACTTATGTACTCGCTTGTGTTCATCTCAATTGGGTATCCTAATTTTCCTTTGAGTAACCTAATAAATTGTACCCACCTCACTCAATTGGGTATTTTGCCCTTTTCCATTAATTGTAAAAATATAATAAAGTTTAAACCTCTCAATATACCTCAGTTATTTTATCTATCCACCATTGCATGATATTTTGTAATATTTCTTTAATCTTTGCATCATATTCAAGAAAAAGTAGGATACAACTATTTCTTGCAATTACCTCAAAGGTGACCATGACCTTTGACATAAGTGCAATTTTTCAATGCAATGCTACACATAATGCTACATTTAACAGGGAAAAATGGTAAAACACCAGGATAATGTGTTTTATAAACACCTGACCTTGACCTTTGATTAATATTGACCAGAACATTTCCAACAACAAAGGCCCCAACTTAGAAATGCTTCCTTTTCCTAATGTAATGTATAGTTTTTGAGAAACTAATTGCAAACACTTTGAAAAACCCTTGACATTTCACATTTAAACAACATATATGAAAAGAATTCCCCAGGGCCAACTTATAGAGGCTCATGGAAGAGGAATATCTAATGTCAATAATCTTAATTCTATGAAAACATTAAAGTGGTCCCATTTCACCCGTGTGGTAATGGTGGTTTTCAGACAAACAACTGGACAGTCTCCCATAATCTATCCCCAAAGGAATGATCGATTACACGTTAGGCATTTAAATAGTATTATGGATACACATTGACACAAGAAATCTTAGAAGTATTCCAGCTATGGATTCAACATGTTTGACTGCTTGGAGAAATAGCATTTGATACATTGGACCCTGTGTTGTCTGGATCCTGTCAACTGGAACCCCCAGGTTATAATTACAGGGAATGTTGTCTATAGAATGTGAGCCATCATGCTACACTGCTGATCTATCATTCTGTAGGGTTGCTCAGATACCACAGTGTGTCATGAATCATTATTCCAGAAAACTGATAATTTGGATGATTTCACCAAGACATTACTTCTGATTAAGTAACAATACAGGATACAAGTTGTTCTTATAAGAAGTAAATTTTTGTTGGTTTGTTGTTTAACGCCACACTCAGCAATATTCCAGCTATATGGTGGCAGTCTGTAAGTAATCGAGTCTGGACCAGACAATCCAGTGATCAACAGCATGAGCATCAACGCAATTGGGATACAATGGCATGTGGCAACCAAGCTACCAGGCCTGACCACCCGATCCCGTTAGTCGCCTCTTACGACAAGCATGGGTCACTGAAGACCAATTCTAACCCTGATTGTCATGGGTTTACAACAATTTGCATGTTAGGAATAATCATTAATGATATGTCACACTTACCTGGAATATGAAATCCTTTGTGATAAGTTCAGGGTTTGGAAGCACTGAGCGATCAGCTATCACAGCCATTCGAATTTGATCACCATAAGTAAGGAAAGAAATGGCGACCGCCACCTTCTCCAGTGGGGGTAGCCAGTACATGACACACTTAATCTCACGCGACGCAAATCTCAAGTTGGTTTCTGGACCAGCCAGATTCGAGATTAGACATGTACACTTGCTATATATATTGTTCCACAGTTTTCTGTACAAGGATTTGGGCAGGGTGGCTGACGTGAACCACATTGCCCCTTTTATCACTGCTGCCTCTGGAGATCGTTTGAAGTGATCCATTGTCATTTTCAGTTCCCACAGGCGTGGAATAGCACCTTCTGTGTTGGTAGGTAGAGGTAGGACTATGAATGAATACTTACTCCCCATCTCCGACCTATGTCTTGTGTCTGTATGATGAAAGTCAAATGGAATGGCACACTGCATGTCGTAAGGGTTCCCAATTCCGCTAACTTGTAGATACGACCTAACATTCCCCGCTGTCACTGACATTAGAAGCTCATTCATCGTACACCTGGAGACCTGTTTAATGCGTGTGGCGGACCTCATGCTGAACGGAGCTGACCACGCTACAACCATGTCTCCAGAAGGATGGACATGGCGGCCGTGTAGCAGGTTGAAGTCATCCCTCATACACAAGTACTTACAACAGAAGGTCAAGGGTCCGAAAAGAAATGCTCTGAATGTTCCCAGAAAGGCTGGTCCACTTCCTAGAGGAGATGATGGAGAGGAGACTCCTTGGGAATCCACCAGCGCCTCCTGGAGGATGCGGATCATGGAGACGCCATCCGTCATGCTGGGGTGCATCCGGAACAGGAGCGCCGTGTCTCGCTGTGGCCCGAAGTTATGATAGACTTGAATCTCCCAGAGCGGATGGTCTTCTGGGAGGGGCTTAGAAGCCATTTCGGATATATATTCCTGTAAATCTTCCAAGGACGATAAACGAACAGATGCATTGAATACATGATTGTTGATGAAGAAATGATAGTCGTCCACCCACGCATACCCGCAACAAAACGGTACAACCTTTTCACTGAAACGGGGATATAGCTTGTTTCCGCGTCGGTCTTCTGCAGTAATGACGCGGGCGTTGATGAGGTCACGTATGCGGTCGGTGTCAAGTCCAGCTTGTATGATAATAAGACTTTGAACAACGACAGGATTAGTGTTGCTGGATTTGTGAAGCCAGATGTTCTCCGACGATGACAGATGCTCGTTGCAGCAGAACTGCGCAGCAATGGTTACAGAATCGGCAACAGTAGCACACGTCACATATTCTCTTCACAATCACACACACTGGAACCATGATAGCCACCAGGATCACAACAGGGCCAAACAGGAGTAAAGAAACAAGAAGCAGTAGAAATGTCGTACAGCAATTAAGACATATACTCTTAGACGTCACATGAACTATCCTCCTGAAAGGGGCACTTGGAAATCCCAAACGTACAAAGTGTCTTTGAAAACCTTCTGATGTGGAATGTACTGACCTAGGGTTGTCCGAGACACGTGACATGTCGATGTGGACTTCCTCCGGTCGCTCAGGTCTTTCGACCTTGAATGTGACCTTGGTTGGAGATTGCACTGCTGTTGGTTGCCTAGTGATGGGTGGTTCCGTACTGCGTGCTGCTTTAGTAATCTCATTATTTGGAACCTCATAATTGTGGCTTGTTGGGACTTTAGGTGTTTCGCTGATATAGACTTTAGTTTCTGCTGGAGTTTGTGATTTCTTATTGTTTGAAGTTTCAATTTTTTTACCTTCTTTCTCAATCTTTTGAGATGCTGAGTCATTAGTCTTTTTGTTTTCTTTCTTTTCTGTTTTGGGGAGAGTTGAGTCTTCCGATGTTTTGGTAGACTTTGTCTTATTCTTGGAGGAGTCATCTTTTTGGTCTTCCTTGGATACCTTTGGTTTGGAATTGTTTGAATCTTCAACCTTTTGGCTTCCTTTGAGCAAGGTCTTTTTGGAATCCTCAGCTTTCTTTGCCTTCTTCAAGGCAGCATCAGTGACTTGGGTGATCTTAATCTGAGGTTTGGATATTTTTTGACTTTTTTGATTTTTTGCAGGAGTAGTGCTCTGACTTGTTTTGGACTGAGGTGTATTGGCCTTCTGGCTCTTGGCTGACTCCACAACCTGGGTGAGATTGAAAGGACTTGCTCCTGGAAATTTGGGTAACACAGCTGCATCTATTATCCTGTCAGGTTGTCTTGGAAGACTGCCTCGTTTGTCCACATCCAGTTTCAGCCTCTTCTTTTCAATTTTGTAGACCTCCAGCCTGTTGCCTGTTGTCTGACTGTTGGCAACAGGTTTGGGGGAGATGACTTCATGGCTACGGATTGAAGACTGTCCTTGTGGCCTAGCACCAAACTTCACCTTGGTGTCAGCATTATTAGAGCGGCCAGTCTGGTCATGATGGCTTTCTTGGCCACCACTTCTTTCCATTGGACGACAGCCGAGTCCATCACATACTCATCTCCGTGCTAACTGAAATGTAAACAAAGGATATTAGTTGTAATCACAGGTATATCCTTTACACTACTTCACCAATCGTTTTTATAATGATGCTAGTTAAATATATAGATAGGATATTGTATGTCTAACCAACTAAGGTATCTGAATACACAATAAGCTGATCCTGTAACAGCTAAGGGAGGCAACTCAGTACAAAACATAGCACCTTAGACTGTTACAGATCTGGTCATCAGTCGAAGCCTGAGTAATCATTTTTATAAAAGAATAATGAAAGCCATGTTGCTGTGTTTAGCTCCAAGCTCTTAAGATTACACTTACACAAATTTCCACTTATCTTCATACATTTTGACATGCAACAATTATCCAATATTTATCTTAAAGTTGGCTCTTTAGATCATGGCACTGTTATCAGCATACCAGAGACATAAAGAATGGACACCCTTGCACCAAAGTGGGGAGTCAAACTCAAGCCATGCATCATTAGGAAACATTACATTCACAAGGCTAAACCGCCATATTTCTCAAATTACAGTCAAGTTTTAAAATGTTAGGTTTCAATAATATAAACAGCATATACTTTTTGACACCTCTGCAACTTATGACAAAAACACCAACTCATTAGTCAAAAGTTTTTTTGACATATGTAGATACAAGCGACTGTCAAATGGAACAATAAGGCTGAAGTTTCCTGAAAGGAAAGCCAAACAAATTGTTGAAATTACACTTACAACATAACTCCAACAAGAACATGCCAGTACTGAGACCTCATACAACTATGAACTGTTATCTGAAACAATTTGATTGGAATAAGGAACACAGTCCTCCTGCCCACGCTAGACTAGACATACCAGACCAGTGGAAGTCTACCAGGATCGGCACAGGCATCTAAGTCCCATCTGGAAACCTTTCTCCACTAAACAAGGACAAGTAAAAACAAATATCACAGTACCTGAGGCAAAAGAAAACACACAATCTTTCTACCCACGATGCACCTGTGATGAAAGTTGAGCTGTGACCCACTAGCATGGATTGTTACCCTCCCTGTTCCTGCCTCCCCCCTTCCCCTCTCCCTTCCCTCTCAGACTAACCCAGTGGGATATATTTCCCAGACACCTGGTCAGTTACAGCTGCAATGTTGGTTCATTCCAGACTTTAACACATGACCATTGAAATAACAGCATCTGGGTATACATTCAACCGGTCAGTTGCAGATAGATTACTGGCTCACTACTTTGATGCTAAAGACATGCACTTCAACATACCATGATAAATATCATCAGTGTGGCTCATAAACAAACTTGTCAATCACATATATACTTTTAATTCACTCATTGGATGCCCAACACTTGAACACACAACCAAAAAGTGCGTCACACTGAATGGTTCTAACAGTCTCAGATACATTCTAGTCATTCACCCTTCCGTAGCTTGAAACTTGTGCCTTATCTGACCACATCCTTATACAAACATGAGGTGACCATATAATGATAATAATAATAGTAATAATACTTATTATTTAGTATGGGCTAACTATTCACATATTGACCTAAGTTCACTAATAAGTTTGCAGCAGTAAAATAGGCAATATATAATACCAGGTCCATGAAGCATTTTGAATTTTGTGAATAATTTATACCTCACAGTATATAAATAAATCCTGATTCATTATTCATCCCAAAACGGATCACAACTAATATAATTCAGTCCTTTCAATTCCAAGGTTAATAACTACAAATCAACAACATACAAATTGTGGGTGGAAAAACTGTTGGGATCAGCCAACAGTTTGGAACATATCATGAATATGTCAGGACAGTGATGTCAGTGAGGAAAGGATAAAACAAGATTGCACACTAAAAATAAATGACCCCATATATAACATAGTTACAGGGCCAACAGATCATCTTCTATTTACAAACAACAAATGATTATAAAACACAACATACAAACTATGTAAAACAAATTGTGTTTCCTCAGTGACCGCTGTAGGGGAATAACATACATAACTGCCCTCCAAACTGCACCAGTTAACATACACACCAGGTAGGCGATATAGTTAACCTTCTATGGCACAAGGCAAATAAGCACTACATCTTACCACCTACCCAGCACCTGGTTTTCAGCCTGACCCAGTGACCAATGGCATACATCTGCTACTTGGATTGTGCTCATTGTGGCAGCGCCAATATTGGACTGTTACAAAACAAGCTGGGGAGGTCTGGCAGTGGTCTACTTGAAGAGGAACACGAAGGTAAAAGACTCATGGTGAAACCAGCGGGCATGTCCTGATTGCGGATCCAGGACGGTAGGGGTGCCATTGGTTGGTTATAGATTCATGTTTGTACAGGGTGCCATTGATTGGGTATAGATTGATGCTTGTATAGGGTGCCATCGGTTTGGTATAGACTCATGGTTGTACAGGGTGCCATTGGTTGGGTATAGATTCATGGTTGTACAGGGTGCCATTGGTTGGGTAAAAATGAGGCAAACTGCTGTGATCAGTAGCTGTATCTGCATAATGTGATGAAGCCGTGTGACGTAAGGCATACGTAACATGCTATCCCTAAAGACAAAGAAGCAGGTTTAATAAGTAGTAATTTTCATAATCTTTCCCATGGTGTTCAAAGATGTTTTGCTTTATAAACTAGATCTTCAATTAATAACCCCATTTAAAAAATGAAAACATTCTATATTGTGAACATAAACATTATGCCAGATAAGAATTGAGTTTCTTCAATATTCCTTTTTAACGATCACATCTTAACTCACTTCTTTCTCCCCATCTCCAAACTAGTATAGTACATGTCTGCTAATTTCCCAATACATCAACATATCTCCCATGTTCTTGGTGCATAAACACAATCATAACACTCTGACAGGGCAGCTGATTGGCTGACATGCTGTAGATACTGCCAGTGATTGGCTGACATGCTGGAGATACTGCCAGGTGATTGGCTGACATGCTGGAGATGCTGCCAGGTGATTGGCTGACATGCTGGAGATACTGCCAGCTGATTGGCTGACATGCTGGAGATAATGCCAGCTGATTGGCTGACATGCTGGAGATACTGCCAGCTGATTGAGTGACATGCTGGAGATACTGCCAGCTGATTGGCTGACATGCTGGAGATAATGCCAGGTGATAACACCCATCCAACTGGCTGACATGATCACAGGTAAAGTGCAGTCGGTGATAGACAAAGATTAAATCCCTTGATCCAACTCCAAATAAAAGTGCAGTCTTCATCTACAGGGTTCACAAACTGAACAGCTGGTTCCTGTGATATTTCTGGAACACTGGTTGACTTGCTACATTTAAGTGCAACAGATCTGAACATAGACAGATGCAGTTTGGTAAATCCTATTGTACTGATATACAACTTCAGAAGTTGTTTTACTGCTGACAATGATCTAAGAATGGTCTGGATTTCCAATTAGTCTCAACTAACCAAACTTAAGTTGTCACTGCAGTTGCCAAAAAGGTGAGTGAGTGAGTGAGTGAGTGAGTCAATTTGAATAGTATTACAGAGGAAAGAAAGCTAATGCAGTGACGTATTGCACTAACAATCCAGGTATCATAACATCTGTCATTCAAACCATGATCAGGATCCTGGTTGTAATTAGAAATGTAACTCCGCTTTACACAACTGCAACAATTCATGCTGCCTTAATAGTTAATCCGTAATAGTCATAAACTGCTTCTACAGCAACCAGTAAAATAAAGGAAGGGCATTTCGATGGTTTTCTTTGTTCAATCACCATGTTAACTTGATTAAATGTTTAGAAAATGTCTATTATTTCCAAGGCAAGAGTGTTTACAGTAATAAGCAAACTTCCAGAAGTTTGTCAATAGCAGCCTGTTTGGAAATAACCAACAAAACTCTACACCTAATTACACTTAAGTGAAAATGGATTCGAGTGAATACTTTTTTGCACAACATGATTAAGTTAAACTTCATGCCGAGCGCATGCACAATTACCAACAACAAGCACTTCTCAGACAACAGGAAGCAAAAACCGATATTCCTGTGACAGGGTTCATTATGGACAATCTATGAAAATTATAAGCCAGGGAGACTATAGCCTTGACCCTCTGGTGATAATGAACAATGAGATGAGCCTTCTACTTGTATGATAAATACGATGCTCTTACAGCCATGTCTGGGTTCTCATCCTCGTAATTCCTGATGTTACTAACACAACACTAACATTCCATGCAGCAGCAACTTCATGTAAGTGAGAGATCTTTTCTCATGAGAAGAATCAATTTATTGATGCAATCATTTTTCTTTTGATGAGGACTTCATAAGATTTTCCACAAAAATGTTCATTGTGAGGTTACAAGATTTTCTATGGGAAGTCATTAGCTTGACAACTTCACATTTTAAGCACCCAGGAAACACATTGTCAACATTGATCGGTGTGAGCGTGCACCTCCTATACTTTCATCAATAGCTTATTATTTACTGCATTAAGGGAAAATTTTAACAAATTGTGTCATCATTTTTCAGGGACCTATTTTTTTTTTATAAGAGTTTATAATTGAAGAAAAGTAAAATAAGTTTTAAAAGTTTTCAGTGCATTTCAAATTTGTCAGTCTATACAATGAATCCTCAAGATAAATGCAGCACCATCAAGTTGAAGCACATATACCATATTTCTTCTAACAGACACCATTTTAATACTTTTAGATGCCAGGGTCAAAACCAAAATGGTGACAATAATTAAAACAATACTGTCACAGTTATTATTTCATTGCTAACCCTGATATGAAATTTACAGTTTCAAATGTCCATACGGTTAGCTGCTGAAAGAGTTACTGTTAGCACAGACATTTAACTATTTTCTTCCTAAACACTGAACTGGAAAAAAAAGCACAAATTTGTAATGTGTTCAGTAAAATATGGTGTAACTATAATGAGAAACACACATGTCAAAGCTCTGTCAATTATGGTAAAGATACTTGCAGTTAGAGAATACAAGCACATTCATAAAGAGCTCAAAATGTGAAA